CTACATAAACAAATGTTGTTCAAATTATGCCGTGTTTGGTCTTATTTTGATCAGGAGAATCTCACAATTACATTGGTAAAAGTAATATTTAGCAAAACCAAAAAATAAAAAAATTTTACTGTTGCATTAGTGTTGTCACATCGATACGTCCTGCCGATTGTTTTCTTTCCTCGGACCTCTCTCTCTTTCAGTCTCTGTCCTTTTCTACGTCGGCGCTCGGTTCGAGCCAAATGTAAACACAAAATCGACACCTCGACTCTATAACTGCAACGCTTGGGTCCCGATTTTGTTGCAGTTATCCAGTCTTTACTGTATTTGTAAATTCACAAATTTTTACTTACATTTTTTTTGGATGTTAGTATTTCTCTTTTGTGTGGTATGCAGCAAAACAGTCTCCGAGATGTGACGCAACGCCACAAGACTTGCACATTAAGTTAGTTGTTTTTCTTTTTTGTTTTTTGAATATACGTGGCAGGCTCTTCGTTTTCGTTTATTTGTATTAGAAATAAGTATTAGTTGATGTTGCATTATGTGACCGAAAAGTCTGTCGACCGGATCATAATAAGATGTACGCGATGTAGCAGCAACCTCCAAGTTTTGCTCAGAAGCAGGTAAGTACATGGTCTTTTATCTACGAACTAGCAACTTTCAATAAAAAATCGTGAAATCGGAGACTCTTGTGTTCTGTATTGAAATATTTATATGTACTGAATGCATTAAATAATGCGCAATTAAAGAGGTACATGCAAACTTTTTTGACCATTTTATAGTTTTTCTGTATATAGGGTAATAACTCAAATATTGGTCTGCCCGATCCACTCCCTTCATATATTTGTTATAGTCTAATACATTTTCAGGTTTTTTTATTATGTGATTGGTTTTTCTACATTTTCTTTGAGTGTCAGTCAAAGTCGCATTATGTATTGTAGAGATCATTCGTATCATTTTAGTTTTCGAAGCTCTTCATAGCTGTGCGAGTACTTCACCTTTCCGTTGATGACAAGCTTCAAATACATTTTGCGCGCTTTAATTTTTCCGGAAATCCTCTATTTTGCCGAATTTTCTTTTTAAGTAAATTCTCCGCAAGTTCTACACTGTTGTAATAATTGTCCATGTACAGCTGATGCATAATTGTCCATGTACAGGTGATGCCACTTTCCATAAGAAAGTGTCAGTAGTTCCATCACTGTTTTTGCTAAAGGCTGTCCAGCGCCGCAATATATCTTGAATGTGGAAATGTATCCCGTAGTAGAATCACACAGCATCCGAATGAGTATGCCATATTTTGTAATTTTCGACGGATTATAAACTTTAAAATTTAATCGTCCACACCACGGTATTATTCCTTCATCAATTGAAATGTTTTGACTAAGATTAAAGTTTTCTTTAAACTTTTTGGAAAAATAATCAATTATGAATTGCACTTTGAAAAGCCGGTCGGCATTATCCGGTTTATTGTTGTTGTCGGAAAAATGTAAAAATGATAATATTTGTCTAAATCGGTTGCGGGACATTGTTTTGCGAAATATTGGAGTGTCTATCAACGGATTCGTTGACCAATAATCATCGATTCTTGCTTTTTTTACAATTCCCATAAGAATAGTAAGCCCAAACCATTTTCTAAGTTCGGGTGCCGTAAGATCGACAAATTTGGGATTTTTTTTATCTACTTTCCTTCTATTGCAATTTTGGCTGTAGTACTTGTTGGTTTCGCTGCTAATATATTCAAACAGATCGTTACCAATATATAATTCTACGATATCTTCGATATTCTTTGTATCTTTGGGAAATATGTTTGGCAAATTTATTATTGGTCCTCGGTAATTCAAAGCCTGACCACTGTGCACTGTCTTCTTCGTCTGATTCATCCGAATCAGTTGCCAACTGTAGCGTTCGCTGAATTCTTCTTGTAAGAATTTCACTATCTTCAGACGATTCTGCTCCACTTTCATTTTCTTTATAACTAATGTCTTTTTCCCAATCAGCCAAGTCGTCCGTGTTGAGGTTATGACGGAGGTGGGATTATTTAAAGTGAAACAAACAGTTTAAAATACTGAACTTTAATATTAAAAATGTGTGAAACAGACTTTGACCAGGTACAGTTACTCGATTTAATATTCAGACACTATGATATTTGCGAAATTAAACGTTTATGTACTTACTTGCAATGTGATTATCGAATTTTCTGATCTGTAATGAGTTAGAGCACATATTCTAGTTTACAAATATGTAAAATTAAATACTTTATTTTTTATTGTTTTCCATATAATAAATTATAAACGAAATTAGACCCGATATTGATGTCGAAAAAATATTCGGACACTTAATATTACATAAAGTTTTTT